ACAGTAACGAAGTATTTGTACTTCATTACTTCCCATCTCTGGGTGTGGGTAAGCAGAGAGATGGTGCCGGCTAGAGGGTGGGCTGAGATGAGAAAGGGGAGTGGTTATTCCCCTTATGACGCCATAAAGGACATGGTTTACACAGGCTTCACCACATATATGATTGTTACTAATTGTTTATAAAGTGAATTTTGCATAATATGGGACCTTTTAACGAGAAACAAGTTGTTACACAAAGAGAGAAAAGTCATAAAGTTAGTAGAAGGAAATTAAAGCAACTTTTTTTGACTCAAATGAAACGACTTTAATAATGAGATCTCCGTGTGGCTCTTATAATCTGTCCTAATCTGACCCTTTTTGTGGAGGTACAAAATCTTTGAGGTTCTATGACCAACAAGGTAACCAGAACACATGACTTTAACTGTTGGATGAAGAAAACTGTGTGTTTATATGTTGGTAATAGTTTGGAGAATCTTATACTCCTGATGTTTTCTTCCAGGAGCCCCTCAGAGCACGCTACAGGACCTTCAAACCCCGCCGATTTACAGGACTTCTTCTGCAGAATGTTTAAGGGTGGACCGCCGAATGACATGGCTGCCAACGGCGGAGGCTTTTTTCCCTCAGGTCCGCCCTATCATCACCCGCCCGGTGCCGGAGGGACTCCTTTCTCCTCTCCCTCAGGGCAGACAGGTTTCTACATGCCAGGTGCCCACAGGCCAGAATCCAGCGAGACCTGGCCTGATGGTGGCAAACCTCCCAGGAGGAGAAAGAAGGTCCGAAAACCCTTCCAGAGGTGAAGTCTGTTTACGTGTTTGCGTGTCAAAGCATGGACAAGAGGAAAAAAAAAAAAGGCCATGTTTGTCCCTCGCCTGCCTGTTGGCGTGCCAAGATCTGAACAGAAGGTGGTTGAGCTCAAAGCTGCAGTCAGATCAGCTGATCAAGCAGGGAGTGGTTCAGCAGGAGGAAGAGTGTTGAAGACCAAGGAAGCGGCAGTGATGGTGCTTTCTCTTTAATTTGACCTTATTGTGTTGTCGGTCTTAAACTTGACTGTAGCCTTGAAAACCGAAATCCCTCCAATGCTGTAACCAAGCATCTTCTTTTTTTAGAAGTTCCTGCCAAATCCCTCATAGCATGATTTATTAAGCCTTTGTTTTCGTTTTTTTGATTGCTTCATTTTTTTTTTTATTTCCCACTTTGTGTGAGAGAGAGAGAGAGATGAATGGTTGAGCAGAGGGCTTCAATCGTTACGATTTACAGATCACAGGAGGGGAGAAATGAAAAGCGCACCTTGTGGCGTGGAGTCGTCTCCAACTGCTCAGTCATGAAGATAAAACGGATTCAGCTTCAGATAAAAAGCTCAGGTTTGTTCTCATCTGCCTGGTGAAACTACAAGGTCTCCTTTTCTAACTCTTCCATAGAGGTCAGAGGTCAACCAGCCCAGGTACTGTAAAAATTGAAATCTAAATAAGTCATTTTTTTTCTTAAAATATGTGCATTTTGTCTTGAATTGAGGAGGTAGGCAAGACTCTTTGCCAATGGAACAAGACATTTTTCATTTAAAATAAAACACAATTGCATTGTCTTATTTCAAGTGCTTATTATCTAATTATCTTATTTTAAGAGTAAAAATACTCCATTAGCAAATCATCTCATTTAACTACTAAAATTTAGGTTATATACAGTTCATTTAAGACATTTTTTTTTACTTATTTCTAGATCGTTTTTCCAGCATGACGTTCAGGTCATGCAGTTCTGTCGATGTTTTATTCTAGGTTTAAAAGTTTTCTGTAAAAGCTTTCATAATCTCATTCTGCTCTGAACTTCATGCTGTTCATTCGCTAAAAATCTGATGGTTAGGCAACTTTTAAAGGCAGCACTTTCCTTTTTGTTTTTTACGCTGCAAAAACAATCTAGAAATAGGTCAACATTTCTTAAATTAAGTGTATGTACCCTTACTTTGAGTAGGTAAATAAGATATTTGCCAATGGAATGAGTATTTTTAACTCTTATAAGATAATTAGATAATGTGCACTTGAATTAAGACAATGCAATTGCTTTCTTATTTTTAATGTAAATTCTCTTGTTCCATTGGTAAAGTGTCTCTCTTACAGCCTCAATTCAAGAACAAATGCACTTATTTAAAAAAAAATTACTTATTTAGATATCAATTTTGCAGTGTAGGGGTGTAAACATCTACTATTTGTAATAAAAACAGATGTTAGTACTTTCAAAGGTATTCTGAATAACCTGGAGGCTTTTTGATTACTAAAATGGTTTTAAGTTAATGCATATTTCCTAAAAAGCTTCGGAAATATTTGTTATTAGTATTAATGAAATTAAAAGACAACTTGTTGTCCTGGTGTTCTTTATCAGAGAAATGAGTTCTTATCAGGAGGCTGCTTACCGCTACCATCATTACACATTTAATTAGAGTAATTGGAATGTTTAATTCAGGCTATTTTTCTATCGAATGAAATGTCTTCCAGGGTAATTTCCATTTCATTTCAGATGAAACCGATTAGACTGGAGGCGCTAATCTGAAGAAAAAAAGCAGGGGAAAAAAAAAGACATGCTCTATTTCATTTTCACGCAGCGGCTAAAAATAAATCATCCTCCGTTTCTTTATACTTTTTGTTTGTTTCTTTCTCTCCTCAGCTGTAGCTGCTACACGGTTTTCACACATTTTATTCCACGATCGTCACACCTGTAGCCTCTGAGTTACTCTGGGTCAGATACCAGATTCTGGTTGGATTAACGTTAAGAAATGAGCCTATGATGAATAATTGAAACCTTCATTTAGCCTGTAGCTTCTACAGAGCAATTTGCTGCATTGTTTACACCTGAATTGAAGACTATGGGCTGTCATTGAACAGACAAGTGTGTGTGTGTGTGTAAGGAAGGCACTTGATAAAGGTTATATTTTATATTCAGAAAACGTTTTCTATTGTGTTAATTTTCTCCTCTTTTATTTCTTTTTGTTTGTTTTGCACACCCAGCGCTGTAATAGAAAGTAGACTGCTTTTGATTTAGAGATATTTCATATGTTTGAAGCTAAACCTCGAGCTGCAGGTGAGTGGGTGGTCTTACTCACCAGGCTGGATGGCTTATTTGCAGATCTTGTTTGCACAGAATCACACTCTGCAGAAGATAAGTGTTGACTTATACTTTAATGCAGAAGAGCAAACTGCTAAAAGGAGCTCTTGTTGCAAATGCTCGTTTGTGCTGGAAATCTTCACCCGAAGGAAAGATATGGAGATGATTGTTTTTTTTTTCCACAAAGAAATCTAACATGTAGGCTCCTTTTATATAAAGCCGGGAAATAAAATCTAAAACTATCTCCTATGAAGGCAAAGCTTTTCGAGTTAAATTTCTGAATTTGATCTGTTAAAGTAACTTCATCCTGATCTTCATTAGTCGGCTTCGATGGACGGCCTAGCCTCATCCACCACGGTGTTAAGAGACTCACTTCCTCTTCATCTCTTGGTGATTTGAGAGTATGAAATGCTGTACGTTTAAAGGTAGCAGTTCAGAGTCCCAAGAGGTCTGTTTCCTTTGTACGTTTTCACACAGAATATGCAGAGATTTTGCAAAAATATTTGACAATCATCAGGGTTTTTTTGTATGAAGTTAAAGAGGCGAGTTCCCAGTTTTAAAGTAATAATCTTGGGTTTCTCCCCCCCCCCCCCCCCCCCCCCCCCCCCCCCCCCCCACTGCTTTGTCTGGTTTTCCAAATAAAGAAGATTTCCAAGATGTACAATGTTTGGTGTGTTTTCTGCTCATTTGACTCAGCTTCCATATTGCTGTCTGTAGCAGAGCTTTTATGCAACCTGGCCAAAAAAAAAAAAAAAAAAAAAAAGTACAGTCTCACCATGCTGCCTCGTTTTCCCCTCGCCGGCCCTTTCACATTCTGTTATGGTTGTGAAAATGGGACAGAGAGGTTGTAAATTTCAGCTCCTTACAAGGAGTTTCTCTAAAGAGACCCAAGTCCCTCATGTGATGTTGAAGGAAAAAAAAAAAAAAAAAAAACTGGACTCATTGATGCGAATGTTTGGTCAGCAGGAAGCATTCCTCTGCAGGCTTACATACGACCCATCAAACATTGATTCAACACTTTATAAGGCCTAACCCTCAAACAATGGTGCATTTTTTCAATATAAAATAAAATTTCCATCTTATTCATCCCTCTTTTTTCCAGTGATTTTCCCCCAATAAAATGCAAAATCGGGTAATAAATAGAGAGTGCGAGTGAATGAAATGCAGAATTGTATTGACATTTATAATAATCCCAAAGAGTTTGTAGGGTGGTTTCGTTTGCTGAAGAAGACTATCAAGGACAAGACCGACATGACCGAGATCCAAAGCTTCTCAGCAGAATGTGATTACCAGGCCATGAAGGTTAGGGAAAAATTTATGCAAATAATCGCTCACAAAGACTTTTCCTTAAGGGAATTGAAAAGACAGATTAAGGTTTTACAAAAGAAAAACAATCTGGTTGGCTGAGAAATCTCAAATGTGTAAAGACATGACAGTCTTGACAGATGAGCTTAGAGTAAGCCAAGTGGAGTGTCGAAGACAAGAAGTTGAGCTTAGGATACTGAAAAAAGTCCCTAAGGTCCGAGGTTAATCAAAAGGCACAACGAAACAATCAAAGAGAACTAAACCCTCAGTGAAAAATTATCTCAACAAGAAAAAAAGTGGAAAAATTTTTTTTTTTTAAAATACTGGAGGAAACTCTTTTGAAGAAAAAGAATAAATATTATCGTTCCATGTCTAAAATGGCAGACAAGCTAAAGGAAAATAATACAGAGTTAGATCAAAAGAGAAAGATGATTAAACGTTTAAACAGAGCCTGTGAAGACGCCATGGGCACACCAATCTTAGCGATAAAAGACAAACAAATAGAATCTCTTACTAATGAGGTTGAACTTTTGAGAAAAGACAGAGAAGAAATATATCAGGAAAAAGTAAAGGAAATTAAAAGTCCGTTGGTAACAAAAATTAAACGGCTTAAGAGAAAAATTTCACGAATGTTATATGAAAAAAGTGATTGCTCTGCAACACATAATGTACAAATACGTGGATTACAGAAAGATATTGAGAAGCTTGAGGGTGACGAGAGAGATTAGAATATAGAGATAAATAAACTAAAGGATCAGATAGATAAGCAGCATAGCGATGTCCAGAACAGTAGGCAAGAAGTAAAAATGATAGAAAATCAAAAGTTTGATTTGCTCAAGGAATTTCAAGATGAAGAGAATCTCAACATGAAATTAAGGATTAAGAACAAATAGAAAACCTAAACAAGGATCTACAAAAGGAAAATGAGGCACTTCAAGAGGAAATCAATGCAAAAAACACAAAGTTGAACAAATTAGAAAAGGAACGGAACTAATTGCACGGCAAATTAACCGTTCTCCAGGCTGATGTCGCCAAATACAAAAGTAAAGTCCTGGGGATGAACAATAAATTCATGCGTATAAAAGGTAACATGCAGAATTGTATTGACACTTATAATAATCCCAAAGAGTTTGTAAGGTGAAGATCCTTATAAACCGACATGCCACCATTAATATGTTTGACAATAAAGTTTAACAATGCATGATGCAAATCCGTGAAGCAGCGAGACCGTGACTTTTAATTTAGGGATTTATAAAGGATTTATGAACTAGTTCTCTACTTACACCTGGAATCATATGTTTATTTTCAAATTTCACATCTTCCAACTGTCAATTATGGGGCGGGCCTATGACATCATTATCTGGACATTCCATTTGGGCGGGGCATCCAGGTGATGACTCAAATCACCTAGGTGGAATGTGGACGGTTGCCCCGCCCACATTGTGGGCGGAGCACATGGAATCTGAGACCTCACAATAACAGAACTGTATAGTTGCGGCTAGGACTTCAGACTGATCGGAGGTATTGTACCAAACTCACGAAAAAATGTCTATAGATCCGTTAGAGGAAAAAAAGTTTCGACTGGCTACGCCACAAGAACAAATTGATAAGTTATCCAAAGAGCTTAAATCTACTAGGAAAGAACACAGGGTATTGAAAGCAAAAAATACGGCGACAGAGGCAGAAAACAGGAAACTACTCTTTTCAATGTTCGAGAAAGATCAAAAGATTAAAGCTCTAGAAGCTTCATATGGAGATTATTCTACGAAAATACAGAGGACATTGGAAGAGAAAAACGCAGAGATTGAAACATTTAAAAAGCGAGAAAACTTGTACAACGAAACAATCAAAGAGAACAAAACCCTCAGTGAAAAATTATCTCAGCTAGAAGAAAAGTGGAAAAATGATAACAAAATACTGGAGGACACTCTTTTGAACAATAAGAAGGAATATATTCGTTCCATGTCTAAGATGGAGAAAAAGCTGGAGAAAACAAATGAAGAGTTAGGTAAAAAGGGAAGGGTAATTGAAGCTTTAAATAGAGCCTGTAGAGAGGCAGTGCGCACACCAATAAAAGACAAAAAATTTGAATCTTTTCAAGAAGAGCTTAAACTTGAGAGAGAACTCAAAATAGAAGCAATCGAGGAAATTAAACGTTCGTTTCAAGAAAAAATTTGTGAAATGCAAAAGGACTTAAAACGCAAGGACATGCTTAAAAAAGATCTTGAATTTCTAAAAGATAGAGAAATAGATAAATTACAGAAAGCTAATGATGATTTTTGGTATGAAAGGACATCTTTGAATAAGGAGATCGCTAAAGGAAAAGATGTGATAGGAAAGCTGCAAATGGATGTCGTGAACTGTAATAACGAAGTAAAAAAGATAGAAAATGAAAAGCTTGATTTGATCAAGCAAAATCAAGAAGTAGAGAATCGCATCATTAAATTAAGGATTATATGTACAACTAAAGAAGAACAAATAGAAAACCTAAACAAAAAAACTGAGGATCTACAAAAGCAAAATGACGCACTTCAAGAGGAAATTAATGCAAAAAACACAAAGTTGAACGAATTAGAGAAGGAACTGAACTGCGTGCGTGGCAAAATACCCGTTCTCGAGGCTGAGGTCGCCAAATACAAAAGTAAAGTCCTGGGGATGAACAATAAATTCATGCGTGTAAAAGTTAACATGAAGAATTGTCTTGACAGTTATAATAATCCCAAAGAGTTTGGAAGGAGGTTTCGTCTGCTGAAGAACACTATCCAGGACAAGACCGACATGACCAAGATCCAAAGCTTCTCAGCAGAATGTGATAACCAGGTCAAGAATATTAGGGAGAAATGTAATGAAATAATCGCTCACAAAGACTTTTCCTTAAAGAAATTGAAAAGACAGATTAAGGTTTTAGAAAAGAAAGAAGATAGCTGGTTGGCCTGGAAATCTCAAATGTATGAATCCATGACATTCTTGAGAAATGAGCTTGGAGAAAGGCATGTGGAGATTCGAAGACTCGAAGCTGAGCTTAGGAGACTGAAAAAACACCGTAAGGTCCAGAGGTAATCTAAAGGTATTTTGTTTTTTGGTTTTGACTTAAGCCTGATGTTACTGTTTTGATTTGGGTTCTGCTTGTCAGGTTTCTGTTTCTGATGTTTTTTCTTTTGAGTATCCAGTTTTGCTTTGCTCCTTGTTTTCTAATTTTAGTGGGTTAATTCTTAGTTTATTGGGTTTTTCTTAGTTACTTAAAGTTTGCATGGTCTCCCTGAGCATGCGTGGGTTCTCTCCGGGTGCCCCGGCTTCCTCCCACAATTCCAGGTTTCTGTTTCTGATGTTTTTTCTTTTGAGTATCCAGTTTTGCTTTGCTCGTTTTCTAATTTTAGTTGGTTAATTCTTAGTTTATTGGGTTTTTCTTAGTTACTTAAAGTTTGCATGGTCTCCCTGAGCATGTGTGGGTTCTCTCCGGGTGCCCCGGCTTCCTCCCACAATTCCAGGTTTCTGATGTTTTTTCTTTTGAGTATCCAGTTTTGCTTTGCTCCTTGTTTTCTAATTTTAGTGGGTTAATTCTTAGTTTATTGGGTTTTTCTTAGTTACTTAAAGTTTGCATGGTCTCCCTGAGCATGCGTGGGTTCTCTCCGGGTGCCCCGGCTTCCTCCCACAATTCAAAAACATGACTGTTAGGTTAATTGGCTTCTCTACAGTCCCCTCAGGTGTGAGTGTGTGTGAATGGTTGTTTGTCCTGTCTCTGTGTTGTCCTGCGACGGACTGGCGACCTGTCCAGGACGGACCCTGCCTCTCCCCCATTGACAGCTGGAGATAGGCACCAGCACCCCTCGCGACCGCACTTGGGATAAGCGTGTAAGAAAATGGATGGATGGAAAAAAGTTGCTCCTTTTTTGTAATTAAGACATCACCTGAAGCACTCAAAGGCCAGCTGCTTCACCTTCAAGCTGCCCTGCAGCATTATAACCGGATATCTGTGTTTCCTATAATCATATAATGTATAAGTTTGTTTTTAATATAAAAGGATTAAATTAAACACAACCCTTTATCATCATCCTATGTTACTTACTGACTGACTGAGCCAGCCAGGAGTTCCGAAGACTGCTGGAAAAATGGGCAAATAAAGGCTGTAAGCCATCAACATTTCTGATTCTTAGCCACAGCCGACTGATAAAGGAAATCTGAGGGTTTCCTTTTTCCGATCTTCTGATATTTAGTTGCTGTTACTTTTGAATTATCTGATGACTCTTTGAGGAAGTCCAGCCCAGATGTTCAACTTTTATAGCGAAGTTAATATTTTAATGAATGTATTATTTTGCCTGATACAGAGAGAGCATAGCAGATAAAAATATGAGTGGGAGACACCTCTGCACAATTCTATATGTTCAAAAAAAAAAAAAAAACTGTAATTTTAGTTGGTTAATTCTTAGTTTATTGGGTTTTTCTTAGTTACTTAAAGTTTGCATGGTCTCCCTGAGCATGTGTGGGTTCTCTCCGGGTGCCCCGGCTTCCTCCCACAATTCCAGGTTTCTGATGTTTTTTCTTTTGAGTATCCAGTTTTGCTTTGCTCCTTGTTTTCTAATTTTAGTGGGTTAATTCTTAGTTTATTGGGTTTTTCTTAGTTACTTAAAGTTTGCATGGTCTCCCTGAGCATGCGTGGGTTCTCTCCGGGTGCCCCGGCTTCCTCCCACAATTCAAAAACATGACTGTTAGGTTAATTGGCTTCTCTACAGTCCCCTCAGGTGTGAGTGTGTGTGAATGGTTGTTTGTCCTGTCTCTGTGTTGTCCTGCGACGGACTGGCGACCTGTCCAGGACGGACCCTGCCTCTCCCCCATTGACAGCTGGAGATAGGCACCAGCACCCCTCGCGACCGCACTTGGGATAAGCGTGTAAGAAAATGGATGGATGGAAAAAAGTTGCTCCTTTTTTGTAATTAAGACATCACCTGAAGCACTCAAAGGCCAGCTGCTTCACCTTCAAGCTGCCCTGCAGCATTATAACCGGATATCTGTGTTTCCTATAATCATATAATGTATAAGTTTGTTTTTAATATAAAAGGATTAAATTAAACACAACCCTTTATCATCATCCTATGTTACTTACTGACTGACTGAGCCAGCCAGGAGTTCCGAAGACTGCTGGAAAAATGGGCAAATAAAGGCTGTAAGCCATCAACATTTCTGATTCTTAGCCACAGCCGACTGATAAAGGAAATCTGAGGGTTTCCTTTTTCCGATCTTCTGATATTTAGTTGCTGTTACTTTTGAATTATCTGATGACTCTTTGAGGAAGTCCAGCCCAGATGTTCAACTTTTATAGCGAAGTTAATATTTTAATGAATGTATTATTTTGCCTGATACAGAGAGAGCATAGCAGATAAAAATATGAGTGGGAGACACCTCTGCACAATTCTATATGTTCAAAAAAAAAAAAAAAACTGTATTTACCTTCTCTATTAGTCGTTCAAATGAAACCATTTTCAAAGTGGAAAACAGTCCTAATTCCACATTCATCAGAGCCACTGATACTTCAAACATTGATAAACAGCACCTAGTGAGTGTAGTGCTTATAAAATTTTCATCAATGTAGCAAAATGCTGCTTTTCTCTTTAAACAATGACTTCCTCTCGTCAGTACCGATGCTCATGTCAAGCATAAAAAAGGACATGCAAATTGCATAGCACCAACGAAACCAGACCAATAGCGTCCCTAGCAAAGTTCAAATCAAACCTACGCCCTTGCCCCCATGTCTTTGCATCCTCTTTTGATATTCTATTGTTTTATAGAACATATCACAATATGTATTTCAGTATTTGTTTGTTAGTTCATTTGTATAAAGATTGTAGCCGTCCAGCTGCATTAGAGATTAATATTTTTTACTATTGTTTCTGACGGTCCTAATACAGTATGTTGAATTTCTCTCCTTTCCCTCGTTGCATCAATGCCTCCTTTGTGACAACAATTATCAAAAATATTAGTGTAGGACTTTAAACCTGACATTCAGAGGTACTAAACAAGCTTTAGAAAACCTCTTTGTACATAAAAAGTTTGTTTTCGCTCATTCTTCACCCATAAATTTAAGCAGTTTGTAAGGCCAACATACAAAAAAAAATAAAAATTGGGAGGATTAAAGGAATAGTACACCCAAAACATGATTAGCCTTCATTTTCTACTCACCCCCATGCTGAACAACTCTCTGGAGTACTTTTTTGATATCTCAAATGCATCTGGAGATCTGGGAGGCTTCTTGCTGTCAGCTGACATTCAAATAATGGAGGTCTATGGCGCCCGAGACAGAAAGGTCCATAAAAGTCCACAAAAAACGTGTCAATATTCCTCCATACTGCTCGTCCAATGTATTCCAAGTGTCCTGAGTGGGTAGCATCCAGAATTTACTCGAAACGAAGTCATTTAGAATGTTTTTAGAGCATAAACAGTAGTGTATAGGATTTCCTGAAAGCGCGCACCTGCGCGTTCACGACGCTACGGAAGCCGGCACACCAAACCAGATGAAAGTGCGCATTCAGCTTCTGCTCTGCCGATAATGCAAGCGTAGAAGAAGAAATGTGCTGTTTACCTGTGCAAAGAAAGAAACAACGAAAGAAAAATGTCTGAGGACTTCAGTGTTGAGGAAGAGCATGAGTTCTTTGCCGAGCTGAATGCGCTGGTTTGGTCTGCCGGCTTCCGTAGCGTCGTGAACGCGCATGTGCGCGCTTTCAGGAAATCCTATACACTACTGTTTATGCTCTAAAAACATTCTAAATGACTTTGTTTCGAGTAAATTCTGGATGCTACCCACTCAGGACACTTGGAATACATTGGACGAGCAGTATGGAGGAATATTGACACGTTTTTGTGGACTTTTATGGACCTTTCTGTCTCGGGCGCCATAGACCTCCATTATTTGAATGTCAGCAGACAGCAAGAAGCCTCCCAGATCTCCAGATGCATTTGAGATATCAAAAAAGTACTCCAGGGTGTTGTTCAGCATGGAGGTGAGTAGAAAATGAAGGCTAATCATGTTTTGGGTGTACTATTCCTTTAACAAACTCTGGGAATATAATTAGATGCAGATATTGTTGGATGTTTAGTGATACAAATCTACCTTTTTTAATGTAACTTGTGTCCTGAAGAAGCCCATTTTAATTTGGTATATTTAACTCCAGAGGAGTTTTAGTGATTGTGGGCTCATGAATGCTGTGGTTTGAGGTCACAGAAGTTCATTTTTATCATTATCAGAATAAGATTGTACATCCAAATCACTCAGCTACCCTGTGCTGACTAAGGTTCTGTAGTTAAAGTTGGAAGGATGGAGCTAAAATCCAAAGCAATCCTAGCAGTACAGCTGTTACAGGCTGCTAAAGCTCTTCATTATGTTTACCTAAAAATGCTGCCATTATTTTCTGGAAGACTTGGAGCTGCTGCAAAAGCTGGTTTTACAAAGTAATAAAATCCTTTTTGGAGCTCTAAATTCTGTTAAATTATCAGATAAAGCCATTTTAATATATTGCTGTATTGGAGAATTTCCCTGAGCTGGAATTCTGTATCCAAGCTGTTCAACAATCCTGAGGTTTGTGCTAAAAATGCATTTTAAATTTATTTCCACCTGGAAAAAAAAAAGACCGCAGCACTTTAAAGGCTCGTTTTTTTTTGTTTTTTTTTTTTTTGTGAATATAGTTTTAATTTCATTTTTTATATTCATAAATGATTATATTTTTCATACAAAATACAGATAATATCTTAAGCACAAGATTCATAAGCACAAAATAATCCAGTCTTACACTTTAAAATTTGGTTTGCTTTTGGAATAAATACTGCAAACCAGACTTATTTATAGGATTGTGAGATTTAAAAGCACATTTCTTTATCTAAAAAAATAATTCAACATTAAAACATAACCTCAACTTTATCTAATAATCACTTGGAACGCTCTTTTGTATAAATCTGGTGAAGAAGGAGCCTTGGTTTTACAGTTTGCCTCTCAGAGCTCCCATGATGCTGCGGAGCTGAGAACAGTCTCTGTAGGCCACCAGGCCTCCGTAATTAGCCCAGCGGTCTGCTCCCGTTTGATCAGCGCGAGGCAGGTGATAGGTCAGTTCTGTGCTGGGATCCTGTACTCCGCTCTCAGACTGCTGCAGACTCACAGCCAAGTCCACCACCCCTCCTCCAAGAGCGCGGAGCAGGGCATGAGGAGCACAGGAGTCCCACTTATAGGTGCTCCCCTCTGACAGGATGTAGGCATCTGCCAAACCCTGGATGACACACAGGATCTTGTACCCGGCCCCAGAGGCGTACATGATGTTTTCTGGGCCGCACACCGAGGTCAGCGCTTCCTTCACAGGCTGCTTCTCGCTGGAGCTCAGCACCACGGACAGTCCCCGCTGTTCCCCCGATCGGTCCGACGGGCTGGACTCCGAACAGATGTTAATGCCGCCGCAGGACACGCCCCAGTAATGCTTCCCTCGCCACCTGAGAAAACAGAAGAATCCACAGTGGTGGCGGATTAGAGAGCCACAGGCGGATTTTATTGAACCTTTTTAATCGGTGGAGATTCATTTAGGAAAAGCAACAGAAGAAGAAGAAAATGGTGCAAGGATTCCGATTTGTTGGAAGCATCTTGCTAACCAGTTAGCAACTTAATGCTAGTAGGTTCCCAATGGGAAATTCCATTGGGACCAAGTAGCACTAAATTTTAGAAACGACTTAGAAACGACACTGTCAAGGAACGCTATGGACAGAGAAAACATGCAAGAGGAGGAGAGTTTAGTGTCAGAGGTCGTGGATGAGTCTCCTCCATCACACATTTTTTATTTAGAGGAGGAAAGCGGGGATGAAGATGTTGTGGAAGAGGACGCCAGGGCGGCAGAAGCTTGGTTTGGTGTAGAAGGCTTCCAGCCGTACATGTTTGAGCCCTTGCCTCGCAACGCTGCCAGTTCTGTTAGCTCTACGCCTGCTGAAGACACAGACGTCCATCCCGTGAACACTGGGACGGAACTCAATGGGAAAGGAAATGATTCATATTTCTTATTTCTACCGATGCATATTGGCAGGGCCGTGCAGAGACCACTAATAATAATAATAATACATTTTATTTAACAGCGCCTTTCTTGACACTCAAGGTCACTTTACAAATAATACAAAAAAATAAATAAAAAGATGAAAATACAAAATACAGATACAGGAACATAAAAAACAAAAAACAAAAAAACAATCATGGATAGGGAAAAGAGCGGTACATTCACAGATAAGCGAGCTGGAACAGATGGGTTTTGAGTCTGGCTTTGAATAAGGGGAGAGAGTCAATACTGCGGAGGTCGGGAGGAAGTGAGTTCCAGAGCTGGGGAGCAGAGCGGCTGAAGGCTCTGCTCCCCATGGTGACAAGTCGAGCTGGGGGTACAGTGAGGTGGATGGAGGAGGAGGATCTAAGGGAGCGGGAGGAGGTGGCAATGTGAAGGAGGTCTGACAGATATGAAGGAGCAAGGTTATGGATGGCTTTGAAAGTATAGAGAAGGATTTTGAATTGAATTCTGAATTGAACTGGGAGCCAATGGAGTTGGTGAAGAACAGGGGAAATATGATGGAAGGAGGGGGTTCTGGTGATGACACGAGCAGCTGAGTTCTGAAGAAGTTGAAGTTTATGGAGAGATTTATGAGGGAGGCCAAAAAGAAGAGAGTTGCAATAATCAATACGGGAGGTGATGAGGCTGTGGATAAGGACAGAGGCAGTATGAGTGGTGAGGGAGGAACGGAGACGGTTAATGTTGCGAAGGTGGAAGTATGCAGACCTGGTAATTTTATTTATGTGAGACTGAAAGGAGAGGGAGGAGTCGAGGATGACACCCAGACTCTTGACCTGAGGGGAGGGGGAGACTAAGGAGTTATCAATGGGTAGTGAGAAACTTTTGATTTTTGTTTTTCTTCTGTATCTATCTATCTACTGTATCCATCTACTGTATCTATCTACTGTATCTATCTACTGTATCTATTAGGGGTGTAAATCACATCCATCATGGCGATTCGATTCAGTATCGATTTCCTGACCCAACGATTCGATTATTTTCGATACTCAAGAATACACCACGATTCGATTCGATTCGATTAATCGGTTATTTATTTATTTTTTTATTATTATTTTTTTTACACCTTACAGGCTAAACAAAGTTTCAAGTTTGAAATAAATCATGAAAGCTGTAATATCATTATGCATTTTCTTTAGAAACAACAGCAAATAACAGAAGTAGAAAAGTTGCATCAAAAAATACTGCAAAAATACTGCACAATATCAGTGTAATGAGTTCAATGCAATACCTCGGCTCCAGAGAAACTGTCCAACATATTTTTTTAGAATGTAATAAATATACTCAGGAAAGAGAGATGTTGCGTAGAGAGTTAGACAGGAATAAAAATAAACTAGATATAAGGGAATTGTTTCAAAGGTCATCTGGGGATGTAGTTTTTGGTAGTATTTTTAATTTTCTAAGAAGAACGGGTATTTTAGGGAGAATATAATAGTTTTTCTGGTCCATACTCCATTCTGGAAGGTGGCGGTAATGCACCTATAAGTTGTTTGCCAACCGCCATTAAAAAAAAGAAGAAGAAGAAGGCTTCAGAGTGTTGACGTCACCGCCCCTTGACAGACGCTCCGCTGCTCCTCTCCCAGATTGTAGCTGACCGCAAACAGTGCAGCAGACAGGAGGCCGGCTTGTTTTGTTTTTATGACCGAAATTGCGGAAAACAACTCGTGAAGTTTGACCCGCTATAAGAGCGAGGTGCGCGAGAACGCTGGGACGCTTTTTCCAGCTGAATCTCCGCTCTCTTTGGCCCTCATGTCCCTCCGTCGTCGAACTAAACTCGTCCCCACTTCCTCGCCGCCTCGGCCCTATCTAGACCCACAGTGTGTAGCTCAGACCACGCTTCAATACTGAGCATAATTTAAAAATGTCTGTGTGAAGCTCACTGCAACATACTGCTGTAAGAGTATAACCAGGAAGCGCGGTAGGAGGCCAAAATAGGTTTAGCGCCACCGCAGCACGGGAGGAAGAATTACGCCCAGGAGCAAATGGATAAAAATAGACCGGAGGGAAAAAAAACATGAATCGATTCTCTTGCGGACGTGTCGATGCATCAGATCGTCGGCTTTTGGATCGATGCATCGATACAAAACGATTATTATTTACACCCCTAGTATCCATCTACTGTATCTATCTATCTACTGTATCTATCTACTGTATCTATCTATCTACTGTATCTATCTACTGTATCTATCTACTGTATCTATCTATCTACTGTATCTATCTATCTACTGTATCTATCTGTATCTATCTATCTACTGTATCTAACTACTGTATCTATCTATCTACTGTATCTATCTACTGTATCTATCTACTGTATCTATCTACTGTATCTATCTACTGTATCTATCTACTGTATCTATCTATCTACTGTATCTATCTATCTACTGTATCTATCTATCTACTGTATCCATCTACTGTATCTATCTATCTACTGTATCTATCCATCTACTGTATCTATCTATCTACTGTATCTATCTATCTACTGTATCTATCTGTATCTATCTACTGTATCTATCTGTATCTATCTATCTACTGTATCTATCTACTGTATCTATCTATCTACTGTATCTATCGTATCTATCTGTATCTATCTACTGTATCTATCGTATCTATCTGTATCTATCTACTGTATCTATCTATCTACTATATCCATCTATCTACTGTATCCATCTATCTACTGTATCTATCTTATCTATCTACTGTATCTATCTATCTACTGTATCTATCTTATCTATCTACTGTATCTATCGTATCTATCTGTATCTATCTATCTACTGTATCTATCTACTGTATCTATCTTATCTATCTACTGTATCTATCGTATCTATCTGTATCTATCTATCTACTGTATCTATCTTATCTATCTACTGTATCTATCTATCTACTGTATCTATCTACTGTATCTATCTACTGTATCTATCGTATCTATCTGTATCTATCTATCTATCTATCTACTGTATCTATCTATTGTATCTATCTTATCTATCTACTGTATCTATCTATCTACTGTATCTATCTATCTACTGTATCTATCTTATCTATCTACTGTATCTATCTATCTACTGTATCTATCTACTGTATCTATCGTATCTATCTGTATCTATCTATCTATCTACTGTATCTATCTACTGTATCTATCTACTGTATCTATCTACTGTATCTATCGTATCTATCTGTATCTATCTATCTGTATCTATCTATTGTATCTATCTACTGTATCTATCTACTGTATCTATCGTATCTATCTGTATCTATCTATTGTATCTATCTACTGTATCTATCTATCTACTGTATCTATCTACTGGCTTTGAATAAGGGGAGAGAGTCAATACTGCGGAGGTCGGGAGGAAGTGAGTTCCAGAGCTGGGGAGCAGAGCGGCTACTGTATCCATCCATCTACTGTATCTATCTACTGTATCCATCTATCTACTGTATCTATCTACTGTATCCATCTATCTACTGTATCTATCTACTGTATCCATCTACTGTATCCATCTACTGTATCCATCCATCTACTGTATCTATCTACTGTATCCATCTATCTACTGTATCTATCTACTGTATCCATCTATCTACTGTATCTATCTACTGTATCCATCTACTGTATCCATCTACTGTATCCATCCATCTACTGTATCCATCTACTGTATCCATCTACTGTATCCATCTACTGTATCTATCTACTGTATCTATCTACTGTATCTATCTATCTACTGTATCTATCTACTGTATCTATCTACTGTATCTATCTATCTACTGTATCTATCTATCTACTGTATCTATCTACTGTATCTATCTATCTACTGTATCTATCTATCTACTGTATCTATCTGTATCTATCTACTGTATCTATCTACTGTATCTATCTATCTACTGTATCTATCGTATCTATCTGTATCTATCTACTGTATCTATCTGTATCTATCTACTGTATCTATCTATCTACTATATCTATCTATCTACTGTATCCATCTATCTACTGTATCTATCTTATCTATCTACTGTATCTATCTATCTACTGTATCTATCTTATCTATCTACTGTATCTATCGTATCTATCTGTATCTATCTATCTACTGTATCTATCGTATCTATCTGTATCTATCTATCTACTGTATCTATCTACTGTATCTATCTTATCTATCTACTGTATCTATCTACTGTATCTATCTACTGTATCTATCTACTGTATCTATCTATCTACTGTATCTATCTATCTACTGTATCTATCTATCTACTGTATCTATCTTATCTATCTACTGTATCTATCTTATCTATCTACTGTATCTATCTACTGTATCTATCTACTGTATCTATCTATTGTATCTATCTACTGTATCTATCGTATCTATCTGTATCTATCTATCTACTGTATCTATCTACTGTATCTATCTT